TGTGCTAAGAATTGGTACCTTTTTCAAGAAGAAATTGGGCAATTTTGAATTTGATGACAGCAACACGTCTTTTCCATCATTTGGTCATGTCTTTTTTTTTAACAGAAATTTCTCCAAATTCATGATATTTTTAAATGATATATAATAGTGGAATAGTGTGGCACAGTAGGATAATGCTAAGAGCTTTCACCTCACAGCAAGAAGACCATAGGTCCTGGCCTTTCATGTGCACGTGTGGGTTTTCACCAGCCACTTTGGTTTCCTCCCACAGACCAAAATCATGCCTGTTGGACTAACTGGTAACTCTAAATTGTTCCTGAGTTGAGTGAGCACATGGATGCTTTTTTTTGTTTCATTATGGGCCTGTTGTACGTGTGCCCTGGATAATGACTGCTGGAGATGAACACCAGTTCCTCCCACGACCTGGAAGGGGAAAAAAATGTGTAAAGTAGATCTATGTATGGATTTATGTATGGACACTGGTATATACCATGTCTGGCTCCTTTTTATTTGAGGAATATTATTTTAAAATCGTTCCCCTATTTTTCAACTATTTTTTGCACACTGGAGAACCTCTGCCCATCTTCACTTCTGAGAGATGCAACCTCCCTAAAATCCTCTTTTCATACCCAGTCCTCTTGCTAACTCATTTCCAAGTAAGCTAGTTAGTTGCATCATGCTCTTTCAGTAGTTCCTTATTTGTATCACTAACTTTTACAGTTTGTAAACACTTTTTAAAAAATGAGTTTCTGCCAACAAATTCAAATGGACATTTTTGGTTTAAAAAAATTGTACAGTTATTTTGTTTAAACATTTTTTTATTTTGAATGTGTTCTGTTCTGAATAAATTATAAAGTGAAGAGATTTGTAGATCATTGCATTTTGTTTTTGATATTTTACACATCCCAAGTTTTGTGGGAATTGGGGTTGTGCATTTTGTGTATTACCTTACTTTCTTAATGTAAAGATGTTCTTTGTTTAAATTTTAAAACAATTTGCATCACTTTCACACAGTTATTCAATAAAACCAATAAATGAAACAATATTAACTTTTACATCAAATGCCACAATGTTACAGTAATTTTCTGTCCGCTCTTTCTTTTGTGACACAAATCATCCCAATATATCTAGTCATGATGTACACCATAAACTATTTCAGAACTTTATGAAGAGAATTATTGCTTTTGACCTCTTTTTTTTATAAGGGATCAAAAGGCATAGTTTACCAGACTTTTTTGTCACTCTCACATTAACATCTTTTTATTGTGTTGTAAAATGAGCAGGTAACTTGGTATTTTTTATTGGAGGTATTTAAACTGATTCTGTTTCTGTTTGTACGTGTGTTTGGGTATTATAATACAATCCAACCCAAATCAGTACCATTTTAGTACTTGATTCTATGCTGTCTCATAGTGAAATGTTATTTTCAATTAAAGAGCAATTCTAAATATAAATTATTCATCAAATGCACTTTGATTTCCACATATGTGAATGGAAGGGTGTGTGGTGTGTGGCCTTGACTGATGTAGAAGAGCTTGGGATCTAACTCCTGACCTTCCAGCTGTTCAATGGTATCGTCATTATGGCAGCCTCAGTCAGAAGACTTATCCACTTAGTGTCTTGTACTGACTAGACCATAAGAATGTAATCCTCTCTTCTTTGATGTATTTGCGTTAAAGAACTTGAAATTTACTTCTAGTGCTAAGCTCTTTAACACTTCCTGGGAACTACACTCCTCTGACTTCTTTGAAGCAACTTCACACTCATTATTGCATGCTTTAAATAAAGATGGTCTGATTAAGTGTTGATAAGGTTTATATTCCATCATTTGATGTTGATTTTTTACTATTGTCTGGACAGGAAGACCAGTCTGCTCCTTACATTCATCTTCTCTTGTTGTTCCTGTCTTTTAAGCCTTTTCTGCTTCACTGCCAATAAATGTGCATGCGTTAAAGACTGCTTCTGTCTTGTAGTATGTCGGCCTCATCTTAAGATGCTCTCAGGGGGGTAAAGGTTTACCCCTGCCTCCCATTTCCCCATTTTTGCTGGGGTCATTTGGAGAGGTAATCCACACATGGACGGATGCTCGTTTTAGAGCCCCAAGCAGAAAGATGGAGCTCCATTGTGGAAAAGGTAGACAGGATTAGGCTCATGCTGAATCGTAAATGACTCATTTCACAAATCTTTTTACCAATCAAGCTTTACTTGAATTGGACTTGTATGCATTCTTAGATCTTGAATTGTACCCAGCACACACAGCAGGTAGATGGCAATGTTCACAGCTGAATGGAGCACATTAATCCAGATTTTTTTGTGTGTGGTCAATGTCAGGCAAAGGTCAACCTTGTTATAGAATGATTGCCTCACGGCGACCGCAGCCGTCGTTAGTTATTTCTCTCCACAAGCCTGGGAGATTGAGTTGAAGTGTAGAGCCTGTATTTAGACTTTATTTAAGAAGATTGGTGGTGGCCACAGACAGACTGCTGCAGTCAGCCCCTCGTTCACCGATGGCCAGTCAGATCAATAAAACACAATTGAGTTTTCCATTCTGTGGTCTTTGGAAACGGTGCCACAGCATTTACAGGGTGATCGCCTCTGATGAAGTCTTCATCAGGATCTATTGACAGATTAATTTGAGCACCCTCCTTCCACCTTCTGACATGTTTTTTTTCCACACTGTAAAGTAATGGGAGAGTAAAACCCTCTTTAAAAGTTTTCTGGCAGCTGATGCACCAATCAAACCATCTTAGTGCCCCTTCACACTGGAGGATGACCCCAGTATGACGTAAATCAGGAGCCAGAATGTGGATGGTCTTTGATGGGTCTTGGTCAGCTTTTCAGATGTATTAGGAGTGCAGTGGACTTCCTGGTACACAGGATATAGTGTGATAGGTCAATGACTGTTTTGTGCATGTAAAAAGGTTCAGTAAAGATGTGGTGGTGGTTTAATGGTGGCTATATATTGGGGTCAGGTGTGGAGTATTGTGGCTCTGGTGGCATCATATTTATGTTGGGGGGCCCTTGTGCACTAGCATCAGAGATTTTAATCCTGGTTTACCATACCATACCACTTTATTTATAGAGCACTTAAAACAGCGACAAGGCCAACCAAAGTGCTGTACAGACAGAACAACAGACAACACACAAAGCAAAATACAAAATGAGGTAAATCAGAATATAGACATAAAAACGATGCAGATAATGACGACTAACCAGTGTAGAGCATACAGGATCAAAACACAGATCATCTGGTGTTGAAAGCTACTGAATAGTAGTGAGTTTTTAAACGGGACTTGAAAACCGAGAGGGAGGGGGCCTGTCTGACAAGCAGAGGTAACTCGTTCCAGAGTCATGGTCCTCCTACAGAGAAGGCCCTGTCACCTCTGCGCTTAAGACGAGTTCCTGGAACTGTGAGGAGCAACTGGTCCGCTGACCTCAGGGAGCGTGGTGGGACATACGGTTGTAGCAGATCAGAGAGATGGGGGGGGGGGGGGGGACTGTTCAGTGATTTGTAGAATCACTGAACAGGTTTGGTTTGAGTGGGTCATGCCAGTGTGTATATGTAGAGCATGGTGAGAAACTCTTGGGAATACGGAAAATGGCAAGGAATTTTTTTTCTTTACTAATAATATAATAGCATGTATTTGCACTTAAGGTTTTCCAAGTTTTCTATGTTACAGCCATGTTCCAGTGTATTTAGGTCCTGGAGAGTGTAACAGTCATCATCCAGGGTACATTTTCCAAGATAACACAATTTTAGATAACTGCCAATGAAAAACAGTTATTTGTGTTTGTTTTTTGACAAGTGTTGCCCGCTTAAAACCAGAATGTTTTTTAAACTTAAAAATAACTTTAAAAATATTCAGCAAGACTGAGGAACTTTCTTTTGAAACTAAAGCTCTAAAGTGGCCTGGCTTCTGATCAAGTGACCATAAATTTATGATTTCATATTTAATTTCCAAACAAAGCATGTGGAGTATAGGGTATCTCATTGTAATGTGTGGTGATTACATGTGCTGCTTTTGAATTTGGTTTGATCCCGACTTTCTTGCTTTTGATGTTCAGGTTAGTTTTTCTTGTCTGCAGTGGAGTTGCTTTTATGAAAACCGTAATCCTCGTGGTATTTCTGTAGCAAGCAGTTTCCCGACACGGCATATCTCAGCAGCAGTCCACGAACTTTCCCAGTTGTTATTTTACCTGTTTTATATTTTTGCCTGCCCCTCTTTGTTTTGAGAAATAGAGAGACCATTGAAGTCAATGTTGATTTGATGAAGGACTTGTGGGGGATAAATGCTGAGATTGCTTGTTGCTTACTCTTTAGCTGTAGCCTGCAATGGTGCTTTTTTATTTTTAGGCTTGGTAACACTAGTGAGCATGATTTTCAGCTTATACTGAATCTTCTTTTACATTGTTATTGAAAATTGTTTAAAATATGTAAAAAAAATCTTTCTAATATGCATTTAAAACCTTTTTTAAGAATGCATTTGATTCCTTTTTGGATGTTAATTTTTTTTGGATGCTCCATTAGAGTAAGCATAACCCTAAAAATTGATGTTGCATTGAGCATTCACATATTTCTATGAAACTATTCAAATTACCATGAAAGAGATTGTTAAATTCAATACAGTTCTCCTCACAGTGGGTGCTGTTTTTATAAAATATTTAAAAAATATATAGAGGAACAGTCTACACTATCACTGGTGCTCATTGTGGAAGTAATCAAAGGAGCCATTGGTGAATGTTACTCCACACAGTGTTTCTGGTCTATCTTTTTCTTTCTTTGTGTTTAAAACATTGCACTTTGGATATATCAGGAAATCTAAAGCTAAAGATGAGCTGTATATATTTTTTTTTTGTAAAACTGTTCGATATAAAACCCACAGCTATCAGTTTTACTAACAATCTGTTGTTCATAATCAATTAAATATGGAATCGTAATTGAAAACTTTTTTTTGTTTTTGCTTGCAAGGCTGACTTTGTGTGCTTTGTTTTTTTTTTAGTGCTCTCTGATGTGGAACCAAACCTTTTCTTGAGGCCCTTCCTGGAAGTTGTTCGATCTGAGGACACCACTGGACCAATCACAGGCCTTGCTCTTACCTCTGTAAACAAGTTCCTTTCCTATGGCCTTATTGGTAAGAAACACTGGCTTAGCACACTCGTATGTTCACACTTTATTGCACTTTGTTTTATGATTGAAGATATTCTTTACAACTTGAAATGAACAAAAACAATCAACATTTTATACACAGTTAAAAAAAATACTTCCATCTTCCATCCCACTCCACCTCTCAGCAAAATTTTGTTGACAACTTTGCTTTACATTTGAAACTACTGGTGAGCTTGATTGAAAGATTAAGGGTCTTCAACACTTTGGTAGAAAGAAGAGCAGAGCTGTCGACTGATCAACTGCGGTAAGTTGGATATGGTCAGTTGTATCCGGTGGTAGTGGAGACTGCCAGACAGACTTGGTAAACCCAAATGAATAGACTGGAAATGTCTGGCAGAGGCCCCTATCAGTGACATCATCTCACACATCTAGGAGTGTTTTTGGCTTATCCCACAGGAGGTTGGGACCTGAGAATCTTAATGTGCAATGTTCAAGGCCTGTATCCCTTATGCAAGTTTTAAGAGCTCTGGACAGAAGGACATTGATGCTTCTTGTGGAAATAATAAAGAACCCGTTGGTGGATGTCCGTGGTAATGGCGGCTGTCAAGCTGAACAAGGGAACCTTTTAGGGCTCAGCTATACCAAAGTACTACTAAAATAAGTGACAGGTACAGGATGGCCGGAAGTATAGTTAGTAGCTATGTTTACAAATGTCAAAGGATGCCCCATTTACAATGCAGAAAAAATATCTTCAAAATCAACTGTCTACATTTAGTTTAAAGGAAAAGCATCATGATTGCAACAGTAAACATAGAGAACGTGAAAGTATAAAATCTGAGAAAAAATTGTTTAAAAAAAACAAACTTTTTTTTACAAGGCCGCTTTAAAACCAGCATTTAATGTTTTGTCCATTGTAAGTAAAATTAGGGTTTCCACTTCTACTAATGCAAGTTAAAACTTTTCCAAAGCTTAACCCAAGTTTATAAAGATAGTCATGAAGAATTAGAGGCTCCAAACTATCTCGTACTACAACACATGGAAACCACTGCACTCTGAAATAGCAGGTGGTCTGCTCAGTTTTATAACCTTTATAATCATTGGTGATGTACCACACCACCAAAATGTAGTACTGATTGGGATTAAACATTAAATAGATTTTTTATTAGATTATCAAGATTAAATATTTTTTTTCTTCTACCAAAAAATATAGATTCTATAACTTTCTCAATACCCTCTGACCTGTTGTTAAGATTATCATTGCCTCTGGTTATGGAGGTCAACAGATCCTTGATTTGATGTGCTTTATTAGATTTCATTTGGTGAACAGTCAGTTACTCTTAAAACCTTAGGAGACCAACAGATTGATCAGAGAGGTAAATATATGTATCATCGGTGTACAAGAGAACAATGATTTAAATTAAATGAGACCATTACAAGTAGCAAGACAACCACATTATGAGTCTCTGTCTCAGCTGGTTTAAAACCTGAAAGCTCTGCCACTGGTGAGAGTAGAAAAATAATCAGACTCATCTCTGTTTCATTGCATTTCTCTCGGCAGTAGAATCCTTATCTATTTTTAATTTTCCTTTTGTTCTCGGTCAATAGAATTGCATCCATGAACTTTTAAAGTACTTTGAAATGAAATGCATCAGAGCAAATTGTCTACATATATTTTGAATCATGTATTAAGACCACTTTGAGTTACTTGATCAGTTTTTTCCTCAACATATCTGCAGCGGATCATTTCAGAGCGTCACAACTTCATCTCATCCCTCCTGGAAGCTGACTTTAGTTTTGTTATGAGGCTTGTTTTAGGCAGCACTGCTGCTTTATTGTTAGGTCATTGTTGGAATGTCAGCAATGGTTTGGTCTCACAGTCAGTGCAGAGACTAACGGTAGAGTGAGGGCTGCCTGTCCTCCTTAGTCTCATCACAGAAATGTAGCCAAGGGGCTGCCAGTTGTTTTAAGTGTGAAATGAGCGTGCATCACCAGATGTTAGTTAAATAGTGAGGGTTTGAGTTATTGTTGCAAAACTGTCATAACAGCTGCAGACACTGCTAAACTAAAATGACCTAAAATTACACAAGTACAACATTGTTCCCTGCTAATATGATTATGTAGAACATGAATGTGTTTCTCATGTTTTTTATTATCAATGCTTCTCTTTTTGCTGTGGTAAAGAGGATAAAAAAGTTAGAATGATGTGCATTTTGATTTTAAAAAACCTTCCTCTGTTAATGATGTTAAAGTGAAGACTAGAAGCAGATGTTTTATATATTCGTACCTGAAACGGACTCATTTAGGTCCTCTTCAAAGAAAGGTACAAAGAGGTCCTGTAAAATACTGCCACCTGCTGGCTGGAGAAAATGAAAGAGACGGAAAATAATATTCAATATATGTTTGGTTTTATCATGTAGCTTTAGATTTACTTTGATTTCTTACTTTTCTGTGAAGTAGTTGGTGACATCTACCTGAGGTAAGGCAAATACTGTTTGAGAGATTTGTTGCAGTGTGTGTTTGTGGACTGTGGGTCACATTTAACAGTCATCTCTGAGTCTGTTCTAAAACAACAACCAGTCATGGGCAGTTTTCTTCCATGTCCATGGAGCTGAGTCCAGTTTGATCAGCATCATTTTAATGTCCTCCCAAACATCCCCCCTCGAATCACCACACTCCTTATTTTTAACCCTTATTTCCAGGGTTTCATTAAAATGGTAAATGGTAAATGGACTGTACTTGTATAGCGCCTTTCTATCTTATTTCAAGATACTCAAAGCTCTTTACACTACAATCTGTGCCTCATTTACCCATTCATACAGCACTCTACTAGATCTCTACAAAGATAACTGAACAAATCATTCTAAAGAGACTAATCAGAGCTTTATCACATTCATACACTGATGGGACACACATCAGAGGCAACGAGGGGTTCAGTGTCTTGCCCAGGGACACTTCAACATGTGACTGCTGGTGGATTCGAACCCCCAACTCTCGCATTGGAGGACGACTGCTCTCAGCCACAGCCTCCTCAAAGAGAGAAGTACATCTCTTAACCTGTAGTCTGAGGTATTCTGGATTACGGAGAGGAGTAAATTAAACCTTGTTTTAACAGTTTCTCAGGAATTTTGTCTTCTTTTTCCCCACATCTATTCTTTCCTCTGTTTTACCTGTTCTTTCTTCCGAGCACAGTCAATGTGTGCTGGTCACAGTTCAGTCCTCACTGGGCCTTCTGGGGCTCAGAACAAAGCTCAGCTGAAGCTTAGGCTACTAGTGCTGGAGCAAGAAATGATCCCAAAGTACAGACATAAATTGCTAATGACCTAAAGTTTAATGTGGACTTTTGGTTTTGTAACACATTGATTCCTGCTTATTTCAAGAGGCCAAGCACGTCTCAGATTGTGTTTTATTGTACGATGTTGGAGGAAATCAATAAGAATATCCAGACAGTAGTTAGGAGGAGATGTACATTTTTGTGGAAGACATGCACTGAGGCCTGGATGTGCCACCAGTCTGCATGTCTTATTGGCACCATTGTAGAGTTTGTACAACCATCTAATTCACAAAGGGAGGTTTGTGCCTCAAACTTGCCTGTTAACTACACAGGGTCTGTGTGCTGGTGTAGTTTGTGTGCTATGTGTCGTCATTGTATGTTCCCATACAATGACAAAATTAGTTCCCTGCATTTAACCCATCGTACCTGGGATATGTCCAGGTGGAGCAGAGGGCAGCTATTGAGCACCTGGAGATGTGAGGCATGTGGGCATGGCTGGGAGTCGAACCACAGCTTTCTGGTCCCAAGTCAGCTGCCCTACCTCTACCCCATCTCGGCCCCACATTGTCTCACATTAAACTGCAGTATTATTCATTATTTTCCAGGAAACCTGCTAATATTAATCTAAATTACTATCAGAGCATATGTGTTTGGAGAAGATACTACGGAGGAGGAGAAATCTGCTGCAGTGTTATCTCCAGAAAATGGTAGACACGTCAGGAAAGGTTTAGTTCATCCTCACTAACAGTCATACGTGTCAGACTTCCTCCTACATACGTGTATAACAGACGGCGGAGACGGTGGTTCAAGGTTTGACAGAATACAAGCATGCTCTCCACTCTGAATGGGCCAAATATTTTACTAACGATCATTATTTGCACGTGGGCCTGTCACGATAACACATTTTGCTGGGCGATTAATTGATTTATTGTTTATCGCGACAGGCCTATTTGCACGTGCGTTCTGTACGAGCACTGCCTGCTTTGTGACTCTCACCTAGAGAAACTGCAGAAATGGAGAAATAAGTTAATGCTAACTATTTTTGTGAATTTGCCTCTGGGTGTAGCTGAAGTCGTGAGCAGAACGGAGCAGATGACTGGTCTCGTGCTTTTCAGGGGACGAGCAGGTGAACAGATCCAGTTAACGTCCGCTGCAGAAAGAAAACCTGCTCTTCCATTGTTGGGCTTCAAACGATAAACGGGCTCTTGTGCAGGGAGTTTTTGTGCTCTGCTCACTTTTAAACAAACCATTCAAGCCTTTCTGCTACCTCTCACTCACGCCACGCCTTTGATTTTTTAAAATGTTTTTATTTTTGTTGGGGGGGGGGGGGGGCACGCCAAAGTTTAAACTGCTTCATGTGGCAGCTGGTTCAACCCCCTGTTGACTTTGCCCACATACCCTCAGGCACTCGCACACATTCAGCCTCTCCTTTTCCTCTGTGTTATTTTAACAATGCCTCCCCCTACCTTTCCGCACGCCCCTCCTTTGGACACCATTTGTACAGACTGTGTTCCTAGAGAAGGATTAGTGTTTTCTATCACTTCTGACATTCTGCTGGATCCTCCTTTGGCGCCATTTTCTATATGTTTTTAAGTTCTCATCACAACCTCCATGCTTGTTGCTTCCTGGGGAGGAGGACGTTTGTGTTCCTCGATGGCGTCACTGCCTGCATCTTCTGCTGGCTGTACCATGTGCAGTCCAGCCTCTCACATTGGCTGCTAATTACTGAAATGCTCCAAACATGTGATAAGTTGTTTCCTAAATGGAGTCTTATCTGTTATCAGAAAGGTTGGGTGTCGGTTTAAACCCCGAGCTGCCGACCTTTGGCTGCGTGACAGAGCCTTCTCGTTACTTAACTGGGAAAATCTCAATCTTTGCCTCTCATTCTCTTTCTCTCTGCCTCTCCCTCCTCTCCTCCTTCCCCCTCTACTTATTAGTTAATGAATTGCGGTGTTTCGGGGTGATGGGAAAGGAAAACAGCTTGGCTCCAGGCAGATAGCTGTGCAACCTCTCAGGTTTCAAAAACACTGGCTCCTGTTGCTCTGGCAGCCAATTTGTTCTAGCCTGCCTCCAACAAAGGGACACATCTGGTCCTCACATCTCAGTTTGAGGGACAGTGTGGATGGACCATGCTGTATTTGTCTAGTTGTATTTGTGTTGACCTGGTGGGGGTTTATTCTTGATTGCTGACTCAACTAATACTTATCACTTTTATAGCAGTATAGTTCAATACTTTCTAAAATGTCTCTCCATTTCAGCCCTGTCATTATAAAAAGTTTAAAGTTTTTTGTTAGCACATGTAGTATATTCTGCTGTCAGACATATAAACAAATATGTACAAAACATTTGACACGCTTTACTGTGATGCTGTCACTACATGGTGTTACCGCAGTAACTAACATTAACCACGTATGTTGGAGTTTGTATTTCAAGCAGTCTTCCTTGTGTGCCTGCAGATGCTAACCATGAGGCTGCAGCAGAGGCCATTGAGAACATGGCGGACGCAGTCACACACGCCAGGTTTGTGGGAACAGACCCTGCCAGTGACGAAGTTGTCTTGATGAAGATTCTGCAGGTACAGCTTTTATTTAATTAGTCACTCTTTCTTTTTCTTTAGCTCTAGTTTTTAGTGTACACCATGCTTCTGGATGACCGGCTCAGGATGGTTCCAGTCCAGCAGAACCATCCTGAGCCTGGTTCTGCTGGGGGGTTATTCCTGTTAGAAAGGAGTCGTTCCTCTTCACTATGGTCTTTGTGCTTGCTCAGGATAGGGGAATGCATCAAAGTAAAGATTCAGTTCACTCTGGTTTTCTTAAATGTACAGCTTCTCACTAATTGACATTTTTTAACTGAATCTGTTTGTGGATTGAATTTGTGTGTTATTGTGTTGAATTTGGATCTGTTTTTTTTTTTATTTAGACACGTTACTTTTTTGTATAGTGTCCTTACATCACTTGTGAATTGTGCCTCTATACAGTTGAGAAGTCAAAATCCATGAACTTTGCAATTTGGATTTATAATATAATTATAATAATCTTTATGAACATTTTTTTCATAATGAAATTATTATTCAACATAAAACTTCAGTGGTTTTTAAACAAAAGAAGAATTGTCCATGTTTAAACCCCATCCATCCACCCAGCCATCCATCCATCCATCCATCCATCCATCCATCCATCCATCCA